ACCTAAATTCAGTTACGAGCATCAAACAAGAACCAATATTATGTTACTGAGCAAGTTAAAAGGATCTAGACTTAAACACCGGCCCAATGTTTCTTGGCATGCGTTCTAACTTGGATTTTTTCTTTCCTATTTTTTTTTTTTTTTCAATTCCGTTGAGCTGTCTCAGGCAATTAGGATTCAAACTCAATCATTTCCTCACTATTAACCTCGTAAATAAATGATCAAATAGGTGAACGTACGACCACTAGGACATTCGAAACCTTTCTAAGTAGCTGTGTAAGTGTCCCAATTTTTGTGTTTTATTTTAATGACAATAGAAAATAAGGAAAAAGTATTCAGTGCAAAAAAAAAAACAACTAAAACTGGTAGCAATAGGCCAGGAAGGATAATGGAAGAGGGGAAGAACATGGAAGACACCAAAACGTGGTGGAAATGAAGAAATTGAAAATTATAAAAGATCCAAGTTTATCTTGGTGCATCAAGATTTATCCAATAGCTATGGGTATATAATTTACATTAGCGCTCGGGTTACTTATGTTAATAATACTGAATTCGTAACTCTCACCTGGGGGTGATTCAGCTCTTTCTGGATGGTGGACCTGAATCGGAGTTAAATAAGACATTTATAGTTAGTATCCGTACTTTGTGTCATGCGCATATGTACGAAATTTTTGAAGGTTCACCGGGCGACTGTGGTCTTATTTCAGTTGTTGGTGGCTTCTGCTTAAAACTGAACGTTTCATAAAGTTTTAAATTATGATCTTGATGCTAAGACGAGCTTCTGTGGGCCTTGTCGTCTTAACATTTCTTATAAGGTCTCATCTCAAGTCATTCACGTCCCTCCACAAATGTCCTCTCATGTTTCAGCTTTTTTCCTGCTAAAGCGCAAATTACTTTAAACGTCCGACCAAGTCTCTTACGTAGATCTGATGAGCTAAGTCAAAAAGTTTGCGGTGTTCTTGTTTTATGAAATGATCGTAGTAGTTATCCTTATCGTTGTCAAAAAATCTCAGTACTGTAGCTAGGAAAGAGGATTATGGCCATTCCGCACTAGCGAAAAAATTGTTTATTTTGACAAATTTTCCATCATCATAAACATTTTACAAGCGTGGATTGGGGGTGAAACCCCTTGGCAAACTATGCTCGCTGGTCTTATGAATAGATCGGCCGCTGACGGAATTTGACGGCTTTAAAATTTTTAGTGCGGATGTAGCAGACGAAACAAAAATTTGTCATGACAAAATTTGTCCTTTTATTTTAACGGTACAATTCTAGTTTTT